TATCACCTACCCCCCAAACCCCTATCGCCCAAGACAATAATCGACTTATTCCACCAGTTCCACTCATTGCGCTATGTGTGTGTGTGTCTTCTGGTGTGCAGGGTGTTTGTGTTCCGTATGCTGGACGTCATTCGTCGACAAACAATATGCATTCGTATATATTCTCGCATTTTCGTCTCACAAATTAGTCTCTGTTTATTTTATATTGTTTTGTTTTCCTTATTTTTCGATATGGTTGGAACGTGAGGGGGAATGTGGGGTTAATGAGTGGGTGACGAGGTGCTGGTTGGGTGCATGGGAGAGAGCGAAGAAATGGGGGTATATGTGTGGAAAGGTTATTGTCAATTGGGAGAGGCCGACATTACTTTGTTGTTGATGTATGGCGGTACGGGTGCCCATGCTTTTTAGTTAGCTAGGAGGTGCACGACGCCTTGCATTAGTGTAATTCGAAGTATTATGGCCATAAATTGTCGTTCCTTCTTCACCTTTGCGTCCTTTGGGCAATGCGATAGGGACGGTTAAAGGTGACACCTGCTTGAATGCTCCTTTGAAAGTCTGGATGATCTTATTCCATCAATCCAGTTTATTCCTTTCACCGGTAGTTTAGTGCGAAAAACGAAATATCGGGGAAAGTGCAACAAACAAAGACCCTGGTTCGAATTGATACTTAGGTGTTATGAGAAAATGATTCTTAACTCAGCTATCACTTGTGCTGGTTACTCTGTGGCTTGGTTGCAGCTTGTTGATCAAATCAAATAGGGCTGCCTTGGTTCAAGTTCCATTTATAGAGTTCTGATTTGTTCATTTTTGGGCCTCCCTGTGCAAGTTGATTTATTACTCTGCACACAGAGTCACTAACCACTCCCGATATTACGCAATTGGCGACGCTGAAAATTTGTCATCATCTTCCCTTTCGGGTTGTTTACATGCTTTCTTTTACATCATCTCGCCTGTCTCTCTCTTTTATTTTCCGCTCCCCATTTGTCCTCCTGTTCCAGAACTTCACTTCGACTTTAAACCCAACTATGCGAAATACACAGACCGATGGAAACAGTCTCCACTGAAATCGGCTCACCCCACGACGTTCAACAATCGCCAAGGACCCACTCCCGATCGAGTACTGTTTGCGTTGTAAACATGGCGTTCCAAATATGGTAACCCGCTTCAGCGGTTCACTCGCAACCCAGATGTAATAATAGAAAGAAATATAACTAAAATACACACGGCGCTCCAGCGCCCATATTTATACTTCCCAACAATATTCCAGGCTCTTCTATGCCCAGCGCTTACGCAGGTGCCTAGTAACCCGTAGAATATTCTCGGATATTCCGGTTCAGTTTCATCATGTGACTCGTATTCCAACAGTTTGATTGTAGAGAGGATGTCTTTGCGCATGGGCAGCTGTACACTGCGCTAAGCTGTGTGCGACATAGGTCTCATGCGATGCTGTTCTTGCCCGAGTCAAAGCTGGACGTTGCGAATGTAGAATACAGAAGACTTTTGGGTTAATGTTAACCTGGCTTGCTACGTTACTTAAATGAATGGACGGCAATTGTTGTATTTAATGTACAGGTTAGTCCAAGACAAATGTAGCGGGGCTTTGCTGCCAGTCATTGGCAGCAGTCCTCTCATGCCGAGAGGTTTCTGATGGTCTATCTGACCATCTATCTATAATTTATTGGCTCCTTAGCCCAAGGAGCCGCTGCTGTTTCTGGAAGCACCCTGCGCTTCCTTCCTTCTTTCCTTTTCTGGGTTTTCCCTATGGAAAGCCAATCTGCTTTCCTCTCAGTCTGCGAGGCTGGAGATGGTCTAGGTGACCATCTCTCCACTGGTTTTGCACCAGTATTATAACTCTTTGAGCTCAGGAAGCGCCCTGCGCTTCGTCACATCCAGGGTTGTTTCAGATTCCAAGCCCTCACTCTTTTTTCCACTCATTCCGAGAGGTTTCAGATGGTCTATGCGACCATCTCTCCACTGGTTTTACGCCGGTATTAAGCTCAGCTGAGAGCTGAGTTCTGGATGCGCCTGCGCTTTGCCAGATCCTGGGTACATCGAGGGTATGGCCCTTACTTCTTTCCCTTTCATTCCAGAAGGCTAGACACGGTCCCAGTGACCATATTCCTACCCGTTTTCACTGGTGTTCTTAGCTTATGCTGAGAGCTGACTCTCAGAAGCGCCCTGCACTTCCTCCTGTTTATGGGCCTCTTGGCTCTGAGGCTCAACCGGTTCCTCTTATTCTGCGAGGTTATAGGTGGTCTATGTGGCTGCATCTTTACCAAGTTGAATATGGCTCAGCTTTCCACGGTATCGTTTCAGTTTGATCAGTACCATTGTATCTGAAGGCTGCCATGTATGGCCTTCACTCGCTGCCGTGGCATCCGTTTTTTTTTAGATTTTCTTGAATGTCTTTCCCTGTATCGTGTTGTTGTGAGAAAGATGATTGAATTTCATTGATGGTTGCAATATAACAACATAGTTATTTGATGAGAACGGAATAAGTGGGCAGTGCAGAGTTCTGCGAAGCGCGAAGTGCAAGCACTCTAGTTGATACTACTATATCACATGGCTTAGTTGACCACCCCCCGGAAGTTGACCATCATCTTCCATTCACACATTTCTTCCCCAAATTCTTTCAAATTCAACACAAGTCATGTAAATACACTAAGGTATCATTGTACCAAAAATCATGTCACTATGTATCATGGTTGGAAAAATATTTGAAATAAGGTTGATGACATTGGGGTTTTTTCCCCAGTTGTACTTTTTTTGGGGCTCCGGTACTACCAAAAATGCCAGTAGCTGCATGGCAACTGGCTCACAGTGTCGCAGGTCATTACACAGCACACTGAGATTCACCAGTTGTCCAAGAATGGCAGTCACGAGTGGAGAAAATGGTCAAGGCTGTGGTGTTTTGCCTTCCTATTCAGTCAGAATTTCTTTGTCTTCATCACTTCCAAATGTCCCCTAAAGAACTTCCCAGCTCTGAGGCCATACAAAAAGCCATTCATGGTCTGGAAGCAGGAATCTACAAGTCTCAGCACCAGGCTGCTGAAGCTTTGTAAGGGAGATAGGCTGCATGCTTGTGGCCCTCCCTATTCATTCTTTATTTGTCGCATCGGGTTTGTACCCAATGTGACACTTCTTCCTGAACCCTTCATTTTTACCATGCGGTCCCAAGCTGCATTCATCACATGTAGTTACCACATTGTATATAACCTACATGCAAGGGGGTAAAGGCTTCCTTAGCCTTTTACCCCCCTGCTGATAAATATAGCGCACATTTAATGGACTGGGAGTGTGAGGCAACAACTGACTATCATGAGTGATCTCGCAAACTCAACATCTATAACCACACTTACACTTTTTTATGCTCAGTGAGCTTTCAAATTTAAAATAAAACCACTCCTTCCTACATCAGCAAAAAATTGTTATGCTCCTGAGTGCTCCAGAGTATGGGGAGCACTGGGAGAATCAGGAGGAGATTGGCCGGTCCAGGAACAGCTCATTTCCTCTGGAGTTGGTCAGGTACTCCAGGGCACTCCCAGGAGGGCATGGAGCATTGCTTTGTGCACAAACATATCCAGTAAATACAATTTAATGCTTCAAAATGTATAGGGGTGAGAAGCTTCTGGGAGCTCCTGGAGCATTTGAAAATGAAAAGGAAAAAAAGGAGGGAAGACTCCCCATGAATACCTCCTACCACAAGACTAACACAACAAGACACTACTTAACATTTAGATCAAACACTATACTATATATCAAGGACACTGAGACTCACCAATACACAGTCAAAATTTATGGCCTGATATATGATTAATCTGGCAACTTAATCACTTTCGGACTTGCAGAATATGGAGGAGGGGGAAATGGGGGAGAATGAGGGGGGAAATGAGGGGGGAAATGAGGAAAATTTGAAAAATAGGGACTTCTAAAAAGTTGGAAAAAATAGTTAGGGAAAAAATCAAAAAAAAATCAGGAACTGTAGTGCCTTTGAAGTGCTTTCAGGATATATAATTATTTGCGAAATTGAGGAAGAAATGATGGAGAAAAATGGAAAATACTTTCGGAGACCCAAGAAATAATGAGAACTGAATTGATGGGAAAGTCTGAAGATTGAATAGGAAAGTGAGGGGAAGCCTTGTAGCATTGTTATTTTCTGCTGTTCTAATTTTTCCTGATTCTTCTTGGTCTCACTCCCAGCTGCTCCTGGATACTCCTGGATACTCCTGGATACTCCTGGAAGCTCCTGGAAGCTCCTGGGAGGGTCCAGGAGCAGCTAATGGAAAATACTTTCGGGGACCCAAGAAATAATGAGAACTGAATTGATGGGAAAGTCTGAAAATTGAATAGGAAAGTGAGGGGAAGCCTTGTAGCATTGTTATTTTCTGCTGTTGTGATTTTTCCCGATTCTTCTTGGTCTCATTCCCAGCTGCTCCTCAATACTCCTGGAAGCTCCTGAAAGCTCCTGGGAGGGTCCAGGAGCAGCTGGGAGTGAGACCAAGAACAATCAGGAAAAATCACAACAGCAGAAAATAACAATGCTACAAGGCTTCCCCTCACTTTCCTATTCAATTTTCAGACTTTCCCATCAATTCAGTTCTCATTACTTCTTGGGTCTCTGAAAGTATTTTCCATTTTTCTCCATCATTTCTTCCTCAATTTCGCAAATAATTATATGTCCTGAAAGCACTTTAAAGGCACTATAGTTCCTGAATTTTTTTGATTTTTTTCCCTAATTTTTTTTTTTTTCAACTTTTTAGAGACCAAAATTTTCCTCCCACTGCTCCTGGCACATTGCATACTCCTCACCACTCCCAGCCACTCCTGAACCCCCTCCCAGGAGAACACTATTGGCTCCAGGAGTGCCCAATCTGCTGTTTTGTCTCCCACATGCTCCAGCCACTCCTGATGCTCCAGAGCATAACGGACTTTTGCTGATGTAGATTGATGTTGCAAAGCATGCCAATCTAATCGAAGCCCCAACTTCCTTTGTTGCCATAATGGTAAAGAAAGCATCAGGCTCACCCTCTGCAGAGAGGATGAGGGCAGCTGCATGTAAGAACGCACAGAATATGGACAATGCTGGGATTCCCAGTGTCAACATGCCTGATATCCCTCCCAATCCAGGAGAGACAGACGACCCTGATGCATCTCCTGGTCCCCAAGGAGACCTGGACATGCTGGGTCCTTCCCAATTCACAACCATGATTGTATCTGCTGTGATTGTGCCTCCTCCACCTGAGGACCCACCTGATGTGTCAGCAGGACCTGATCCATTCATTGACATGTCTGGTTCCCCCGATTCTCCCAGACTGGGTGGAGTGCCAGGGCCTGGTGATGGCTCTGATCAGCTTGCTAAGGTCATTGATGTTGATGGCAACCAGCCACCAATGGAGACTCCTGGATTGCCAAACAACCAGAGGCATAGTGAGTTGATGATGATGCTGAGAAGCATTGATCAGTGGCTGGATCGTCTGGAGGACTGAGTGGTCCACCATGATGAGGCCATAGAGGACTTGCAAGCTTGGGTTTATTGCCCAAGCCCTGGATTGGCTGAAGGCCAAACCCCTCTAATCACACCTCAGTTTGAGGCTACTAGCGTGCCTCCACCCATACCAGTCAGGGTACAGGACTGAGAACCCACCCAGCGATGAAACTTGCTGGAGGATGAAGTCTCTATTGATGAGGACTATGTCAAGATGATGACTTACCTCCCAGTGCCAGGGCAACTGTCAGGGTGCACACCCGGACTAGCCCGGACCCACTACACTTCCCATGTGCATTCCTGCACTGCACACTCCATGCGCTGCATGATCCAGCCCCGGATCCTGCCCTCATGTGACTTCTGGGTATCCCCAGAAGTTTTTGCCATATTGGGGCCACTGTGGGAAAGTGAGAAGTTAACCTTCTTCTCACTTTCTTACCCACAGTAGTGTTATGCCCTGAGATGGGCTGTGTTACAGGCTAGGCTGTTGTCAGGGATGACTCCCAGGTCCCCATGACCCTCCCCTATGGTCCACAGCCCTATGTGTAACCAGCCCTATCCAGGGCACAACCTACTGTGGGTAAGGAGATGAGAAGGAAGCTAACTTCTCATCTTCCCACAGTGGCCACAATATCAGGCAAACTTCTGGGGATACCCGGAAGTCACATGAGGGGGTGGGAACCGGGCCCGGAACATGTGGCATGCGGAGCGTGTGCACATGTGGGAAGCACAGCAGGCAGATGCGGGTCTGGATGCGGGTCCGGGTCCAGGCTAGTCAGGGTGTGTGCCCTGACAGCTGTGGGCCATAGAGAGTGGCCATGGGGACCCGGGGATCGTCCCCTGACAACAGGGTGAGGTCAAGAAAAAGCAAAGAACTATCTTTGCTCCTCGTGCCCCTAGTGAGATGACCATGGAATACAGGACCCAGATGGACAGTGATGCCATCTACATGCACAGACCTGAGGGTCTGGACAATCATGCCCAGAAAATCAGGTGTAGGCTAGGTTCCTATGGTCAATTTACTGTGCAGGATTCACAAGGTGAGGCCTTTAGAAGACTAAGCCAAGATTGGCCTAGTCAGGCAGATGCCCAACAAATTCCTCTCAGGGTGTCAAGACAAGAAGTCTTGACCCTGCAGCTGACCATCCATACTCTCCAAGGTCCTCTTGGAGAGGCTTCTCATCCTATCATTATTTCCCCTGTAAAGAGGGAAAGGGAGCCAAGCTCCCAAGTTCCATGCATTGCAAGCTCTGTCCACCCACAGGTGGTGAGCTTGAATACCCCTCACAATGGATTCATTGAATCCACCCTCAGGTCCTATTCTAGAGACCCAAATAGCTCATCCCCCAGTGACCCTGAGGGATTCACCCAGGGGCATCCGCTGTGGGTGCATGATGAGAGTGCACCCAGGTCGACTGGTGCACCCAGGACCGGGCATGTTGTGCATGTGGGTTGTGTCAGAGACCAGGTTGAGATGAAGGAGCGTCTCCATGGCGGAGGGCTTTGGCCTCAGCGACTTATGCCAGGAGTGCTGTGCCAAGTAACACATCCGTGCCCTAACTTACTAAACTGGCAACCAGAACTGAAGGGGGTAAACTCTAGTTGATTTTATTACTGAGGTGTAACCTATGTACAAGTTGAGTATATATATAGTTACAACAAGGGCGGGCCTGCAAATGGTGGAGCGGAGTGGAGCTAATGGGGTTAGACATTAGCCGATTGAATATTACTGATGAGTTGGGTTATGGGGTTAATGGAATGGTAGGCAATAACCCAGAAACGGAAAGGAGGGATAGGCCTGAAGGTGGGCTTGCAGGGCAAGCAAGTGTATTGCCCAGCGGAGGCAGGAGTGTGCTAGCGGACGTCAGGGCTGTCCGGAAGCCTTTGGGGCTCCATACTTAGGGAGGTGTAGGTAATAAATTGAAAAGAGGGGGTGGTGACCATCGAGGGGTACCAAGGTGATTGCGGAATACGGGAGCTCCGAGGTTAGTGAAGAAGGAGCAGAGGTAGACTGGAGGGATTGGAGGGAGTGGAAGTCGGTGGCCAGGGATGGATATGACAGTATCCCCTTCTTAGGCCTGAACCCTTGAAGGCCCAGAATTAGTAAGGTGAGGGGAGCTGTACTTACAGAAAGAAAAAATGAAAATGGAAGTGAGGAGTGGAGAGAAAGGGAGAGATGGGAGAGGAGTTGGGGTTCCTAAGGGGCTTTGGGTCCAGGCTTATCTGGGTACTGAGAGTGGAACACTTCGACAAGGTTGGAGGCATGATCGAGTTTGCCGGCAAGGAGCCATTGTGTCTCCTCATTGGTCCCTTCATAGCCTAGCCACTTGACCAGGTAGTGCATCTACATCGGTCGATCTTGGAGTCGAGTATCTCCTCGATCTCGAACTCCATCTCGCCTTCGATTTCTATGGGAGGTGGAGGTGGCTGGTGGCAGTTCAGAATGATGTTCGGGATGGAGGGTTCGATCTGCGAGACATGGAATACTGGGTGAATGGCCTGCATGTTTTCTGGCAGGCAGAGAGTGAGGGAGTGAGTTCCTATGTTGGCAATGATCTCGAATGGGCCAAGGTTTTTCTTGGAGAGCTTTTTGGAAGGTCAGGTGGAGCGGAAATACTTGGCCTTTACATAGACTGAGGTTCCTACTTCGAAAGCTGGGGCAGGACTCCGACGGGAGTCTGCTGGGCCCTGATAACGGATCTGAGTGAGGTGCATTTCCTTGTGAAGGAAGTGATGGAGGGAGTCGAGATCTACAGAGTACTCCTGGGCGCGTACTGATGTTAGGTCTCGCTCCAGGTGAACGGTGATGTTCAGATGGTAGCCTTTGTTGGCGAAGAACGGAGAGACGCCTGTGGTGGCATTCGGAGCGTTGTTGTATGCAAACTCTGCGAGAGGCAGGAGTTCAGACCAATTGTCCTGCTGGTAGTTACTGTAGATGCACAGGTACTGCTCGAGCGTCTGGTTCATCTGTTCGATCTGACCGTCTCCTTCCGGATGATAATCAGAGGTGAAGTGGAGGCGGATGTCGAGGGCCTTACCAAGTGAATGGAAAAAGTGAGAGACAAACTCCGGACCCCTGTCGGAGGTGATGTGGGAAGGAACTCCATGCTTGGAGAACACATGGAGAAGGAAGAGCTTGGCCAGTTCTGGAGAGGTGATGGTATCGTGGGTAGGAATGAAAATGCACTGTTTAGACAGGCAGTCCACGACAACCAAGATGGAAGTGAATCCGGAAGAGGAGGGTAGCTGTTCGATGAAATCCATGGAGATGGAGTTCCAAGGACATTCGGGGATGGGGAATTGTTTGAGCAAGCCATAAGGCTTATGATGGGGGACTTTGGCACAGGCACAAGAAGTGCAGGAGGCGACATAGCTCTTGACGAAGTTACAGATACCCGGCCAGGTATACTCATGATGTACTAGGTCCAGAGTCCGGTTTTGACCGAAGTGTCTGGAAAGTTGGTGGTCATGTTTGTCTTGCAAAACGCGGAGACAGAGATTGTTGGAATCCGGAACGTAAATGCAGTTGTCCAGCCTTAACAGGCCTTCAGCATCAATGGACCAGTGGGAATTGGGGAGGTTGGGGGAAGCGAGATGAGAAGAGATTGTGGTATCAGAGGAGAGGGAGGCTAGAATGTCTTGATGGAGAGCCTCTGTGTTGACGAGTATGGCTGCTCGGATTACTGTGGCAGCTAGGAATGTGGCTCGTAAGGACGCAGTGAGCTGCTCCAAAGTGAAGACCGGTTGGAAGTTCTGCAGGTTGATGCGAGCATAGTCCATATCCCCTTCTTTGGGATAGACATCCCAGCATCTAGTCAACGCATCTGGTTTTACTCCAAGTCTTCCGAGACGGAATTGGACAGTCATGTGGAACTGGGAGAGGAACTCTGACCAATGGGCTTGCCACCGGGTCAAGAGTTTGGTGGTGGAAAAATACTTGAGGTTCTTGTGGTTGGTAACAATGTCGATTGGAGTTCCTGAACCTTCAAGGTAGCGACGCCATGATCGGAACGTGTCATGGATGGCAAGCAGTTCCTTATCATGGGTGTCATAGTTGAGCTCCAGCGCTGAGAGTGTTCTAGAGTGGAAAGCAATGGGGTGAATCTCTCCATCATCACAATGGATGGACAGGATTCCAGAGATCATGTAATCGGAAGTGTCGGTTTCTACAATGAGGGGGGCATCAGGTAACCAATGTGTCAGGATAGGAGCAGAAGTGAAGGCTTCTTTCAAGGTGTTGAAAGCAGAGCAACAGTCATCAGAGAATAACCAGGGGGCTCCTTTACATGTAAGGTGCATCAAGGGGACCACAATGTCGGAGTATTGGTGGATGAAACACCGATAGAAGTTAGCGAAGCCAAGGAAGGACTGGACATCCTTGACTTTACAGGGCTTGGGCCAATCTTGGACAGCTTTGACCTTCTCAATGGACATGGTGAGTCCGGAGGGAGAAAGGCAGTATCTGAGATATTCCATAGTGTCTGTATGAAATTCGCATTTCTTCGGATTGGCATATAGGCCATGTTTGCAGAGTCTCCTAAGAACTTCTCGGACATGCTCCTGATGTGAAACCATGTCTTCTGAGTAGGTAAGGATGTTGTCTAGGTAGACTACCACAGAAACATCCAAGAGGTTGGCAAAGATTGTGTTGACAAATCGCTGGAAGGCTGCAGGTGCATTTGTGAGACCGAATGGCATGACAAGCCACTCATAGGAACCATAGTGCATGCAGAAGGAAGTCTTCCATTTGTCGCCTGCTGCAATGCGAACCAGGTGGTAAGCATGCCGGAGGTCGAGTCTGGTGTAGACTGTGGCATGGCTAGGTGCATCAAGGAGGTCGGAGATGTGGGGGAGTGGGTAGTGAGCCTTTTTGGTGATCTTGTTCAGCCCTCAGAAGTCAATGCAAAGATGGAGGGATCCGTCTTTCTTGCAGACAAAGAGGACCAGTGCCATGTGAGCGGAAGTAGTGGGACGAATGAACCTGGAGGCAAGGTGTTCATC